ATATTAAGAGAATATTAAGGGTAAATGTTCCCGTAGGTTGAGAAATATTAAGGGTTAATGTTTGTCTACGCCTGCATCAATGTTATGTCGTTAGTTTATGTAGTAATGTTGGGAATCGGCGCCGACACGCACTAATTTCCCATTTGTTGAGAGAATGTTATTATAATATTCTCCTTGGATTACGTGGATACGTTGTAGTTATATTACCCGTATGAAGGTATATGAAAATGTGTTGAGTTCTTATTTGTAGTAATGATGTTGTCAGTTGTTCCCTGACATGAAAATGCTGTTGAGTTCTCGAGTGTAGAGACGAGGTTGTTTTTAATTGTTCTCTGCGAAAATGTGTTAGAGTCTTATTCGTAGGAACGATACCGTTGGTAGTTCTCTGATATGAACAGATTGAAGTGGTGAGTACATGATGTATGCGAAATGTGATGTTTTTGTTATGGATAATTGGTTGTAGGCGTGATGCCTTGTTGCACGGTTGTTACACAGTTGTTGTTGTTGTTGTGTTATAGTCCATAATAGTTGCATCTCATAGCATATCATTTGGCCTGGATTTGCGACGGTTGTGTCTTTAATGACAAAATAAAATGATTGTGGAGAGTTGTCTCCCGATTTATTGTGGAGTGTTGTCTCCCGAATTATTGTGGAGTGTTGTCTCCCAAAATGGTACCACATGCATATGCACAGTTGAGTCGCATTGTTGAGTTGCCTTGTTGAGTTGCGTTGTTGAGTTGTTTGGATGAGTTGCTGAGATATGATGATAATTGTTGTGGTTATGAATAAAGAGTGGTTGTAGTTTATTATTACTAATATTTATGCGAACTGCTGGAATTATAATGTTGTGATAATATTCTGACATGACTTTTATCTTGCCTTATGTTATATTGTTGATATCTCACCCTTTACGTTGTATGTTACCTCTGTTGGTGGTAATTTGCAGGTAACTCGGAAGAAAGTGTCGCTTTATGTTTAAGGTCGTTGGTCGCTCTGATACGTAGCACTCTGGGGGGGATGGACGATTAATGTTATTGTTTTAATTGAATTCCTTGTTGCTGAATTTTATTAAGTACTGTGGCAAGTAGATTGGTTGTTTCTGATAATGCCAAAGGTTGCTTGGATGCATAGTTGTTTTAGTGAGTTGATGCAAGATAATGACTTGCTGAATTTTAATGGAATTTAAATATTACGAATAGTTGGAAGTGTATTATAGCATGCCGTTTTATGATTAAAGTGTTAAACAAATTATCGTTGTTTGTTCATCCGAATTTTGTGCTACGTATGTTAGTAAATGATCCATTGCAGGTGTATGTGTTGTGGGGAAGTGTAAAATGTGACACCTCTAATGCGTCTGAGAATTTGGGAGTGTGACGGTCATCACAGCTCCATGACGCTCGTCATGACCGTGACGGTCGTGACATCCATGGCGGTCGTCATGAGATTTTAATTGCTGCACTCTGAATTGTTTCTGTTGTTTATCTTATCTTTCCACGATAGTTTAGAGTGGGGTGTTACAGGATGCACATGAATGCATGATGCACACGTCACAAATCATCCTCATCATAACATTATAGGTGCATCATAGCTCATCATAATAATCACCATCATACATCATGTCATCATAGCTCATCATAATCATCATCATCATACATCATGTCATCATAGCTCATCATAATAAAAATCATTATACATCATGTCATCATAGCTCATTATAATCATCATCATCATACATCATGTCATCATATCTCATCATAATAATCATCATCATACATCATGTCATCATAACTCATCATAATAATAATCATCATCATACATCATATACACATCACATAGAATTCACAGTCATACTCATGCTAATTCATCATATTATCACATATTAGTCACAAAGAATTCAAAATTATACTCATGGTAATCATCATATTATCCCATATTAATCACATGGAATTCCCAGTTATACTCATGCTAATTCATCACAGAAATCACAGAATCAAACATCAAGGCATCGCTGCACGCAATCAACATTCGCGAAACTCTGCTACGTTCGCTGGCATGTTCGCTAGGCGAGTCTGGGGCGAGTTTCTTCGCTGTGCGAGCGATGACAGCAAATTTTGCTACGCACCAGAACTTAATTCAACCCAAAAGTCCACACGATTCACTTCCCTAGTGCGCCTAAAATATCCCTAAATCATCCCTAAGGTCTTACGGCGATAAAGGCACAAAACCTACGGTTCATTAGGCCAATCCCGTATCATATTCACGCCCTAAATCACAAATTCCTTACAATTACCCTGCAAACATCATAGTTACTCACTATCTAATATTCCTATCCCTTCAGGGTTAGACAATGAATTCCAGGAAGGCCTAACTTTCCCTTTTTCCCAATGAATTCCACGGTTAGATTCACAATAATAGATTTAGGCCACGAAGGCCAAAGATCACTAATTCTCATATCCACCCGACTTTAAATACATTGAAATTACAGATGGAAAATCATGAAGGTAATACTCCCCATACCTTAATTGTCGATCAAAATCTTCTCAAATATTTCAGGGAACCTTTCAAAACTCTTGCCTCAAATCTTCCTCCTCAAAACTCTGACCTCAATTCTTTTCACGGTCTAACAAATGAATCATAATCTCTTCACAATTTATTTTTTTGTTAAACCTAGTCTTGAGCCTCACAATTGAACTTTTTCTAACTTACCCTCACTAACTCCTCTTAAATATCTAATTTGCCCTTAGTCAACTTGTATTTATTTTAATTAATAATAATATTAATATATTTATATTATATACTATTATTCAAAATAAATAACTCAAATTTCATTAATTTCTAATATTCCACAAAACCACCAAAAATTACCGAAATACGAATATTTTTATTTAAATCAATTAAATAAATATTCTAATTAAAACTTAGGGTGTTACAACAACCCTCCAACAACAAGTAAAACTATTAAGCCTGGGTTGAACCCTTGAGAAGCCGCATTCTGAAAAACTGACAACAACAACAAAAAAGCACTTAAACGAGGTCATATTATTCCGAAGAAATTGCAAAACCGAGGCCCTTGGAGTGATCCTTTTTTCTAAACTAAAGGTAATAAGTGTGGGTTGTTTGACAAGAAACCGGACATCCCAACCCAATTGATTAATCCAAAAATTCATCACTAAATTAATCTTCTCAACGGATGTTAACATACAATAAGGTTGCCTTTTAAATGCTTGGATGACATCTTTATCAGACCAACCCCACTTCTTAAAGGCATCAACTTTCTTCTTCCGTCTGGTTTTGATTACTGATGTTTTGGCAATCAATGCTACAGTAAAATTTGTTTTCGTAGGACTAAACCCCAAATCTTTTAATTCCTTCAATAAAGATAACATGTGAAGCGACTACATTGTCCAACTCCTGACTCGAAGCAATCTTGCAATATTTGAGTCAGACACTCCATTCTAAATCAGCATTATAACGTTACGCGGCACAGAAAGGTGACAGAGTAAATATGGATTGTTAATTACAGAACCAATAACCTCCTTGTCTGATTGCAGGAATCCATAAATCACCTATATGGTTGAATCGAAATGCGGAGAGGATGGTGAAGGTTGTGGGGAATTTAAGCACCTGAGATGGGTTAGAGTTCTGTTGGGACATGTATTGAACTTCAACATTGTGATTGAAGTAGTGAAAATTGAAAGCTGGATTGCCATTCCAATGCAACACCTCTTAATGGCGAGAAGATAAGAAAAGTAATGGACGGTATTGCTACAGCTATTTAGATATGGTTAGGCTTGTGAAAGAGTATCATGGTTGCTTTTGGTATAAATGAGTGTATGTAGCATGTAATGCACTGAATGCATATTCTGTTTTAAATACATGGATAATAGTCTCTATCACACAAGTTAAGAAACTCATTTATAGTAAAGTTGTATTGAAAAAACAATTTAAAAATTAATTTTATATTTTAATTAAAATCTGTATACAATTTTCAAGACAATATTTTTTAATTTAATTCTTAACTTGGAATACAAGTTAGCATTACCTTTTTTATATAATAAAAAAAATATCTGCAGAATCTAATATTTTATTGAAAACTTATATTTATCGGTAAGATACAATTAATATTTAAATGAGACATTATTATCGTAATTAATCATTGTGATATATTAAGTTAATCAGCCATTTATCTTAATAATTTGAGTTTGCTTGGTGACATGCGACAACCTATGTAAAATATATATATGACAGGAATCAAATTCATAGTAGAAACTTTTTAAACTAATTTTTTCGTTGAAATTGTCTCATTTCCTACCTGAAACAATTTTTAATGAAGCATCAGCAAGCTATTGACCATTGATCAATAATGAACCATCAGTAAGCCATTGAGAAAGGGGTTAAATAGTTAGAGGTAAAGGAAAATTTAAAAAAATTATAAAAGATCCGACGAGATTTAATTGTTGTAAAATCAGCAAACCATTGACGGTCACGATAATTATTTCCTTTGATATGTGCAAAATATGTCTCTACACCAAATCATTTTCTGGTGTACAAATAAAATCTTAGTTGTGCCATGATGTTATCCATGGAGCTTCCAATTTCCCACATAAAACACTTCTTTTTAAACTTGCCGAAGTCTACTTATTTGAAACCTTGATCAAGGAACAAGACTCTTATTTTTTGAGATTCCTCTGTTATGAGAGAAATCTTTGAAGGAAAGTAATGGAGGAATATTTCCTTCTTATGTTCTTCACTCCTCCTTTATATTTCCCCTATTGTTTGTTTGTCATCCAAATATAATGCAAGTATAATAAAAAAGGAAGCAAAACTATGATTTAAACCACAAACTACATTCTAATATTAAACTCTCTCCAAAAACATACATGATGGAAACATGAAAACATACATGATGGAAACATGAAAATTAACTTAAAATCCCACAGAACGAGCATTCTTTAGTACAAGTTAATCGACATTTAATAGAACATTTGAGTCCATTGCCTCTACTCTCCAGGTGCAGAGACTCCTTGCCTCAGTCTCTCCTTTTTGATCTTCTTTTTTGAGACAGGCTTCTTTTTCCTAGGAGGAATGATCTTCTGTGCATAAGTGTAGAGCACAATGTTTCCAATCAGGAATGTCAATAACAACCCTCCAACAACAAGTAGAACTATTAAGCCTGGGTTGAACCCTTGAGAACCAGCATTCTAAAAAACAACAACAAAAAAGCATGAGGCCACTTGTGTGGTGCAGTGTTTCAAATAACTGAATATCATCCTATAACTACAAACCCTTGTTTACAAATCGGGTGAAATTTTAAGTTTCCACCTAAGATAACATTGTGGACGCAAGTAAAAGAGAGTCACAAAACTAATGTGCTCTCCATTATTCTCTTTATGGTGTCTTATCTGTGTTCTCATATTCATTAGTAAGTCTACCATTTTCCCAAGACAACAATTAAATGAATGGACTGCTATGATGCATGTACACTAAAAACGGGACACCGACATTGACACGTCACGATAATAATTTGAAAAATGAATAAATTAAACATAATCACAAGTGTCGGTGTCAGTGTTACAAAGCTTATTTGAGATTGACCATAAGGGTAGCATTCGTATTGAATATGCATTATTGATTGAACAGATTGCAAGCTGACATTCAGAGAATTTTATGGCATTTGGTAACGTCCAATTGGGAAATAAAAAATGCAACATCAAAGACCCAATGAATTTATGCCTCCAATGAAAGGTAAGAAAAATTGAATTCATAGACATGCACAAACACAAATCATCAAAGCCATTCCATCCTATTCATGCATGTGATGTTTGAGCTTGAAAACAACCCCTGACTTAAATCGGAAATTAAAATCAGCATAAAACAGATATCAATCAATGCATTGAATAAAAAAAAACAAAATCTCAACCTATACAACAAAAACAGTGCATAATAATAACAAACATATACACACATCACTAAATCGTTAAATCTGAATATGAACATATACCTAAATCAAAACTCAAGCAGAAAAAAATAATAAATCCTAATTTAATATTCAATGAATCCAAAAAATTAGAACCCGTACGAGTTTAACATCATTAATAGAAATGTAAAACATAAAAAAAAAAGGTCAATGATTTGAACTATCAAAGATTAAAACTGCATTGAATGTATATAGTTGATCTAAGAAATAAACGATGAATCGATAATAATAGTGAGATCTAAGAAGAGAAGTTTACATACCGGAGGAACTTTACCGGCGAATTGAGAATCATCGGCCATGGCTGACGGTGGGAGACAGTGAGAAATCTACCAAATGAAACGAATCCATAGTTCGCAGCATGGTTTGAAATACTAGCTCCAATTTTTCTGCTATTGGTTGTTTATCAAGCTTATGACGCGAAAATAAATACACGTCAGCTATCAAGTACACGTCAGTTAAAGTGTGGGCATGTAAATATAACGGAATTTATTATTTTTAATGGTAAAAATTAATCTTTACTAATATTTCTTTATGCGTTTTATTACTCCTTGTTAGAAAAAGTTATCTTGTTGATAGCATAAGGATATCTCATTGCATGATGAAGATTTGTTCTGTACCATCTCATTGAAAGTCTAACCATTATTAAAGAAAATATATATATTTAAAATTGTCTAAAATTAGACTACCGTTATTTTGATTAAATTGAATTGTCTGTAATAATAATAAATAAATTTAATTCAATCCATAACTTTTTTTTTTTTGGGTAAATTATGTCAGGTAAGCCTCACATTTTTTAAAATTTAAAAATATTTGTCAGAGTATTTATTTATTTAACATTTTAAGATTAAATTTTTTTATGACTTATAGTTTTCAATTAACAGTTTTAACAAATTTTAAATTCTTTTTAAAAAATAATATATAAAAAAATCGCGATGACACAATACAAGTTATCAGAATATTTAAAGTCAATAACAATACAATACAAATTTTATACATTATTTTCTCTAATAAATTCTCTTATCATTGATAAATATTAAAAATATAGTAAAAATATTTGTCTTTTAAATAAAAACATTAAAAAAAAATTAATACAGATAAATACAAGAAAACGGACGTCTATATTTAATTATTTCATTGTGTTGTATAATTAATAATATTTAACTATATTTTGTTATGTTGTATAATTGATTTTAATTATATTTAATTATTTTATATTAATAACTAAAATGTAATAACTTAAAAAAAAATTAACACTCAATTAAGTAATTATATGTAACAACTAAAATGTAATAACTTAAAAAAGAATCTTAACACAAAATATAACATTATTTAAAAATAAAATAAAAAACTAAAATGTTAACGGTGAAGTTCATCATTTATCAATATATATTGAAATGTAATACAAAAAAAAAGTGTTATTTTTTTTAATTATTTATGTTATTAATAAAAAAATAAATAAGACAAATATTTATAAGTAAATAGTTACTACATAAAAAAAACATAACTAATATATGAATTAAATGACATTAAAATTATTATATATTAATATAAAGGCAAAATACCTCTTTTCGTCCATTAACTTTAATTCGGGGTTCAGTTTGATTCCTTAATTTAAAAAGTGTCAAGTTGGTCCTTTAACTTTTAAAATGATGTCAATTTAGTCATCACTGTCAGTTGTCCCCAAATGTCTGTTTATTTTGTATATCTGGCAGATGACCTGACAATTGTGTTCATCATGTTGCTTCCTTCTCCTTCCTCCTTCCGTTCACATTGTGCGACTGTGATTTCTCAATCCCAATCTCAAATCCCTAAATTAATCTAGGTTTTTTTATTTGGCAAGCATGAAATCCAGTTGTTCCTCCTCCATGTTGAAATCGGAAAGTCGAGATCCAGATGTTTGTAGTAGATCACGATGGAAGCCCATATGCCATTGTGGAGACATGGATGTTCTTCAAAGGACAACTACTGTTAAGAATATGGGAAAAGTTTTTTGTGGTTATCCAAATTAAAGGCATGCAAGCTGGTTTTGTTTTATGTTGAAGTTCTATTTTTGTTTTTGTTTCTGTCTAAATTATAAATTATATTTCTTTTTAAGTTTAAATTCATTATCCATCATCCTCTAAACAATGAAACTTACAGAGAGGTATGCAAGCTGGTTGTGGTTTCTTTGGTTGGTTTTATGAGGAGATGGGTGATGAGAAGGAGCAATTTTGGATGCATAGGCTGAGTGTGGTAACTAAGGAACTTGCTGAAGGAAAAAAGGACATTGAAAAAGTGACAATGGAGAATGAAGAATTAGGGAAAAAGCTGATGAAACTTGAAAGTGAAATGAAGAATATCATGAAGTGGAAAAAGATTTTGAATTTGATGTTTGTGATGATTATCATTGTATTAGTTGTTAGGAGTAGTTAGGGTATTAAGGTTTGTTTGGAAGTAGTATGTTATGGTTTGTTTGTAAGAATTAAGTTAAGTTTTGGTTGTAAGAATTAGGTTTAAGTTCAGTTAAAGTTTGTATCAGTTTTGGATTGTATCACTTCAACATGAATGTAATAATTGGATTATAATATATGGATTCTAATCCTGTATCAGTTTAGTTAATTTCACTTTTTGCAGTTCAACATGAATGTATTAGTTTTAGTTTTGGATTGTATTAGTTCCACATGAATATAACAGTTAAAGATAATGTTAACTTGGTATGCATTGACAAATATCATGTTAAAGTGTTTTTAATTTGGTCTGTCAAAGCATAACCAACGGTTAAAGATTATGTTAATTTGGTATGTCAATGATATATTTGGTATGTTATGTTTTTATGTTTACTTGGTCTGTTATAGACCTGTCAAAGTTGGTCTGTTAATTTGGTCTGTTAGTTTTGTCTGCATTTTTGCACCACATTAGACATGATCGTAGTAATATGAAGCTCATGACAGGTTCTGCTTTTAGGTTCATTTTATAATACCTATAAGTTGGTTATGCTTTTAACATAAAGTTCATGACATCAGGATACATAAACAACAATAGCAGCAAGATACATAAACTTGTAATACATTCCACAAAATAGGTTATGCTTTTAACGCAACTGATACACATGTTCCACAACAACAGCAGAATACATAAACGTGTAATACATTCCACACATGTTCCACAAAATAGGTTATGCTTTTAACACAACTGATACACATGTTTCACAACTAGAGTTTCTTCTTTGGCGTGGTCCTCTTTGTTGGAGTAGACCTCCTTGTTATTGGGCCAACAATATTCTTGACAGCACTCAACCTAGTTGTAGGCCCAGGTGGCACAAAAGGTCTTGTTGGCTTCCTTACAGGCAGCTTTTGTGTCTTGCCCTTAGCAGGTCCATGTGTCTTCTGAGCAACCTTTCTCTTAGAAGTCTGAGATGCTTTGCTAGATTGTTGAGTAAAAGTTCTCTTAGCAATGTGTGTTGCTTTGTTCTAAGAGGGTTGTCTTGGTTGTTGAGTTGAGTTGTTGTGTTGGCTTGGTTGTTTAGCAGTCTGAGTTGGAGTATGAGAGGGTGGGCTGATTGTTGAGTAGTCTGAGTTGTTGTGTCCTTACATGTAGACTTGTAATGTCCTGCTTTCTTACACCTACTACACTTCACCAGAAAACTTGTTCTTCTCAATTTGCGAGCATACCCATCAATTTCACCTTGTTCTAGGTTCCTCCTTTTTTTAGGTCTACCGGGCATCTTCCTGAACTTGGGTGGTTGCACATCTGGATATGGTGTCTTAACTGTTGCACCCTAAAATTTGACCAACCGATTCTCCTATCTGACTCATGGTTTAATTTCATATTCACAGCTCAGATGTATGATTTTTGTGCACAAGCAGGGGATATCAGAGTTTACAGCTTGATTGTTGTCTATCGGATATGGCAGATTCAGTCCAGATTACCAGGGTTTTATTTTCGGGAAATTTTGCGCTCCTCGGTGATTTTTCAGTGATTTTGAGAATATTCTGATGTCCGGGGATACCTGTTCGATTCGATTTGGTCTCGTGCGCTTTTACAGGGGTCATTTGCATTCATCTGCATTTTTTAGGATTTTAATAGGCTTTTGTGAATTTTTAACAGGCTTTATAGATTTTTCTGGAATTTAAATAGGGCTTTTGAATATTTTAATAGCTTAATTTTCTTTTTAGAATTTTATAGGATATTTTTAATAGATTTTAATCATTTGTAGTTTTTTTTATCATTTTTAGAATATTAGTGAATTTTCTTAGCATATTAAATAGAATGATAAAATTAGGATAAATAGGTTTAATTGTTTTTTAAATCATTTGTAGAATTTTTCTATAGATTTTAAATAGGTTTAATAGTTTTTGGATAATATAGAAAATAATATAGTTTTCTTTTATAGATTTTGATAGATATTAAATGATAATAGGATTTTAATAATTAGATATTAATTGTTTTTAGATTTGATTAGATTAATATAGAATTAATTGGACTTTAATTGACTTTTTAGAGTTTAATTAGGTTTAATTGACTTTTTAGAGTTTAATTAGGTTTAATTGACTTTTTAGAGTTTAATTAGGTTTAATTGACTTTTTAGAGTTTAATTAGGTTTAATTGACTTTTTAGAGTTTAATTAGGTTTAATTGACTTTTTAGAGTTTAATTAGGTTTAATTGACTTTTTAGAGTTTTAATTAGGTTAATCATGTTTTAGATTTAATTAGATTGATTTAGTCAGTTAATTAGGTGTTAATATTTGAGTAGAGTTAATTGGGTTTAATTGTATTAATCCAGTTTTTTGTACAGTTTTTACTCATTTTCGAAATGGGCCCAGTGAGGCGTTTTTTTGCAAAGGCCCAATTCACAATTGATTCAGAAGTCCAGTTCAGCCCAGTTCGTTCCACCATTTTCCAGCAGGGTCCAGAAGTGTCTAGAAGCTTCCAACGTTTTTCAGTGTAATAAATAGAAGCTGACACGTGTTGGCCATGCAGGGTCCCACACGTTCACCCAGAATCACGCCACCACAGCCATTCTGATTCCCCAGACGCTCACACGTGGTCCCCACTATCTCTCCCTCCTTCCACGCGTCCAGTCCTCAGCTGCCACCTACCTCCACCGGTCAACCCTACCGGAGACTAGTCGTCGGCCATGCAAACCTCTCTGACCACCGTCTAACCGTCTCCGGCCGCCGCAACAACTCGCCGGAAACGGATTTTTACCCAGAATCCCCTAATTTTCCCCTTTCTTCTCTGATCGCCACCAAGAACCACCACTAGCTTCATCAGAACGTCCAAAATTTCCTCACGAAAATCATCATCGTCAACGTAACGC